GGAACTGGCGGTCAGTTTCAGCAGCCGCTGAATCTGGACGCCAGTTCCGACTTACATACAGATTCAACTTAAGAACAAACCTACAGTCCCTATCTTGTACGTAACCCGGGGACTGCCTGTATAAGAAGCTTGAAAAATGTAAATCAGATGAACAAGTGATTCATACTGAAGCCTAGATTACCAAAACTCAAATTTACGATCCAAGGTAGTTAGGATAGCTAGTTCACGGTCATTAATACAGTCCTAAAAAGATTTGCAGCAGCCAGTATCCTGCAATCTGTGAAAGTTATCCACAAACCTATGACACTCAAGCCACATCTACACTGCAAGGCTTTTGCGCAAAAACCTGTGGCGTGTCCACACCTCAAATACGCTTTTGTGCAAGTAAATAGGCAGTAAAACGGCAGAACAGAGGGCTTTTTCCAGGGTAGATAAGCCTCCTTTTACGAGTCATAGCTCCTTTTTGTGTAAGAGTTCTTGCACAAAAAGGCAAGTGTGGACACTCTGCAGGGGTTTCTTGCGGAAGAAACCCCTACAGGAAAAAGCACAGGTGTTCTGATGGCCATTGAGCTTTCTTGCGCAAGAACATGTGGACATGCTCTTGTGCAAGAAGTTTTTGCCCAAAAACTCTTGCACAAAAGGCTTGTTCTGCAAGAAGTCTACAGTGTAGACGTAAGCCTCAACGTATTGCTCTCTCAATTTTGGGGCATCATGGCAGGCTGTCCCCCATGTACAAGAAAGTATTTGCAACTATGAATAGAATATAAAAAACAATTGTATGTCAGGGGTTCCCAGCCTGTGGCACATGAGCTTGAGGTCCCATCCAGTCACTTCACAACACATTTTTAAGAAGGTGGTACGTGACTCAAGAGTATGGGAACCCTGATCTTGTAACTAACTGAACAAAAGCAGAGTGTCCTTGACTTTCACTTGTGTGCAATGAGCTGCAGAAACTGGTCCTAAATATGCAAATTCCAGTCTTCCTTAATCTAAGTTGCAGAATACGAATACTATCAAGTCTAACTCAAACAATCACTATCAACATAAACAGATTTTTTTGTACCGTCACTATACATTTCATTGAAAAGATACTTGATGCTCAATTCTGATTCTTCATTTTAGGCTATTGCTTAGAAGAAACTGCACTAGAAAAAATGGCTTGTGCTTTTTTAAAAAAAAGATGCATGAGTAATGAGCCAAATGTGGTTTTACTGAAAAAGTTTTTTTTTTTTTTTTAAATATTAGTAATCTAGGTTGCAACTTCAACATCACAAGTCAAGAATGAAAAGTTAATCAAACAAGACAGTTTTTAGTTGGACTGTTTGAAATTTTAGTTTTAGATTGTTTGCAACTATGTATTTAATATCAATGGATGATTACAATTTGGATAAAGCCAAACTTCGTAAAAGAAACAGGAAGTATCCCTCCATAAACATAGTCCAAGATATCAAGTAGGTCTTCCAGCAAGTCAAGACTGCTTTCCTGGTATTTACAAAGTAAAGCCAACACCACACAAAACACAACTTTTTGGAAAAAACATATCTAGACGTCTTTATACAAATACATACGCACAATAAAAGAGGCATAATCCCCATATTAGAAAAGCAAATTTTGCTGAATGAATTTAACCGATGTAACTTTAGATTCTTACTGAACAAGCTTTAAGAAAGAATTGTTAACATTGTCCAGAAATAGTAACACAATAAAAGTGCCTTTCAATTACATATTCAATATTATCCATTCTAACTAAATAATGCATTGTATAATGCAAGAACTCTTTCTGCTCCTTACAGATGTCATTGCCAACAGATTTATACAAGTTCTAAATTTAAAAAGCAAGAAAAATGAAACAAAAAGCATATACCATATTACAAAAAAAAGTAAATCATCCAACCTCCAAAAAACCACATCTTCGCCTCATCGGTATTATGATGGAACATTAACATTATCCTAGGTTCTTCTATGAAGCAGATATCCTTCATTCATATTTAAATGAATAATCATTAGATCCCAGTTGCGATCATGAAAATGCAAGGTATAATTTTATATTATTTTGATAATAGGGGTTTAGATAAAAGAATATAGCTCATTAGCTTCCATCTTGCCTATTTTGTTGTTACTTACAGGCTGATCTTTCTTATTACTCTACAGTATTTCTAGTGAGTATTAGAAGTTCAATGCTTTAATGTGGCCAAATCTGTTATAAGAAATAACTGAAAAGATCTCTGAAGCAGCTGCATGCATGCACTTAATGTTAGAAAATGACATGCAAAATGGAAAGATACATAGCATAATGGACAGAGCTTAAATGACAGTCTCAGCATGATTAATGCTCTTCTGTAATTACTGTTCCTCAACCTACTATTATTGAAGAGTTTAGGACATTGCAGCCGTGTGAATGTAGTAGCTCCGGTAAAAGTAACTACTTCAGGCTTCTGTATTATTATTATTAATATTATTATTATCATTATCATCATCCCTTATTAATGCATTTCAAGCCTGCATAACTTTTTGGTAAAGCAACCCTGCCAGCAGGGATGTAATCAGTGGTATTAAAAAAGTCCCTGTTTGCAATTCACACAACCTAAGATCATCTATTTATAGAGAAAGCTTAAAAGGGAACTTATATGCTTTCAGAAATAAGCAAACGACAGACTGCAGAACCACTGAACTGGTTATAGTTGGGTGTGAATACTACTTGAACACAAGCTTAATGTTAAAAAAATAAAAATTCCTCTTACCAATAAACCTGGTGAGTTGACATCAACATGGCTGATAACTTGAAGTTCTCTCTTTACACTCTGATCTGGTACTACAGGCCTTTCCAGAATTGCTTTCACGCAGTACTGAATACTGCCATACTTTCCACTAAAAGAGGTCACTAACGGTCTGAAACAAATACAGTCAAGATCATTTCCATACATAAAGCTTATCTGTATCCATACACACAAGTTGAACCTCTCTAGTTCAGCACCTTGGAGACCTAACTGGTACCAAACTAGACAATTTGCCAAATCACAGGAGGTCAAAATTGTCTAGCAGCATTACCAACACTTCTACTGGTTACTGGGCTCTTAGAAGACATTTAGGGGTAAATTAGAGCTAAACAGCACAGAACACTCAAGAGACAGGACTGGTGGCTGTAAACAAGCTTTATGGGACTGCAGGAAACTTAGCCACACCCATAAGTGGACACTGGCTAACTAAATCATGCAGGACCACAGACGTTGTGGGACCACAGAGTGACAGACTAGAGAGGTTCAAACTGTACTTAAACACATTTACCACCTTAATCCTTATATTTACATTGAACACTATTTTGACAACGAAAACAAACTCACCTGTTTTACAGCATATAAGCTGTTTTACTTTGATTTTGTTTCAACTGTTTAAAAATGATACTGGTACCTCTGGTCACCACTGCTGACTAGGCCAGTCACTGTCCCGTTGGCAGTGTGACATAGCTGGCAGCTCCCTGCTATCCTCTATGGTACACAGTTATCAGAAGCTGCCCCTGCACCTTCTGGCTACTACACCTAGCAGTAGCCAGAGTGCACCAAGTATTTGCCATTGCTGCTCCCATTGGCTTGGAACTGTGGCCAATGCAAGCGGTGAAGGTGGCACCTGCAGTCAGGAACATGCTGATGCTTCCAGGAGTTGCTTGAGCTAAGTGCCACCTGGAGCCTGCACCTTTGACATTCTTCTTGGCCTGATTCCTCTCTCTCTCTGACGTCCTTAGTCTCAGCCCAGAGCACCTTCCTGTACCCCAAATCTTTCATCCTTGGCTCCACCCCCTAGCCTGCTCCATCTATTGGAACTCTTATCCCCTATCGCATCCCAACCCACTGCGTCAGCCCAGTGAAAATAAGTGAGTGAGGGGGAAGAAGAGCAACTGACCAAGGGAGTGAGGGAGCAAGTGGAGGCTAGGTTTCAGAAATGCAGGGCAAGGGTGTTCAGTTTTGTGGAAGTAGAAAGTTGGCTCTGATTCTCTGCTCCGATTCTCATATACCAGAGCAATGTTATAATGGCTGAGTCAATCATGGAAGAGTTATATTTCTACTGGAGTCTCTACTCTCCCCAGGCATGCCAATATTTAGGAGAAGATTTCTATTTATGCCCTTGGGGAAATCCTAATACACAAGACAAGCCTATGTGATGGCTGGTCCAATAAAACATAAAAGTTGATTTATGAATTTTATAAAGTGAGATCAAAACTAAGAAATTAAAAGTTGCTCCAGTTACCCTAGTTATTGCAAACTGTCAAAATGTTATATTATTTTACTTACTCCTGTGGAAGTTGAAAGCTGAATGGGAATTCATGTTTTCCAGCTTTTAACAGGAATAAGCCATCCTCACCTGTAGAAGAATGAGGTTATATTTTATTTACTCCACAAACTGGGGCAAACAAAGTGAGACAATTAACAATAAAACAGCGTATATAGTTTAGTTCAGATGAAAAAGGGACTCACACTGACTTCAATGGACTTTCAGCTCAGAGCTCATATATTCACCAAGTTCACTACTGAACTAATGAAACTAAGAAAATATATAAAACTTAAAGTTTACTAAACTCTAGTCACATTCAAATATACAATTGCTTATGGGCAAAATTTAAAGTTTTGTTTCTTTTTTGGGAAAAGGGGTTTAATCCACTTTTATAACTAGCAATTTAACCATCTTTTATTAAAAGAAATCCCTTTGATTTGTGTATTTTATATGGAACTTTACAATCAGATTTCTTATACTACTATCATAAATGTATTTATAATAAGAAAAAGTATTTAAAAATTCTAATTTCCCCTTATATTTACTGTTCAAACAATGAAAACAGACATGCCAGTTTTGATTCTCATGCACTAGCACAGTGCTGCAATAGTTGAGTCATAGCAGTCTCATGTTTGTTGGGGAGAAGTGTCAATCTAATTTTCCTCTCCTCCATTTTCAGAAAAGGTTTCTACTTTGTTTCAATACAGGCAGTCCCCGGGTTACGTACAAGATAGGGACTGTAGGTTTGTTCTTAAGTTGAATCTGTATGTAAGTCGGAACTGGCATCCAGATTCAGACACTGCTGAAACTGACCGCCAGTTCTGACTTACATACAGAATCAACTTAAGAACCCCAGGCGTCCCCAAGTCAGCTGCTGCTGAAACTGATCAGCAGCTGATTCCAGGAAGCCCGGGGCAGAGCAACTCTGCCTGGGGCTTCCTGTAGTCAGCGGTGGTCAGTTTCAGCAGAAGCTGACTTGGGGACGCCTGGGGCAGAGCAGCTGGGGTGCTGCTGGGTTGCTCCAGCAGCCCCCCGCTCCTGGGTGCTACTGGACCAACCTAGCAGCACCCCATCTGCTCTGCCCCAGGCGTCCTGATTCAGCCGCTGCTGAAACTGACCCGCAGCGGCTGAATCAGGGACGCCCGGGGGAGAGCCGGACTATCGGAAGGGGGGGCTATCAGGGGTCTGGGGTGGCATCCCTC